TGCAGAAGGCGCTCAACCCTCCTAGGGCTGGATTGCGACTGGGTTCAGGCCGGGGGCTAGAGGTTGCCCTCTCTTGGGTTTGCAGCTGAGCAGCCGACTGAAGAGGGAGGGCCCAGAGATGACCTGTTCCCGAGATATACTATAATTTCTATTAAAACTAAATACAACCAATTTTTTCTCTATAGTGCAACTCATGAACTGTTATGTAAATTGATGTCCTTTTTTTTTAGTGGTGCATTTCCTCTTCTCTGATGATTGCTAAACTGCTACCCAGCTATAACAGTTGTTGGGCTACTTCATGTTTAGTTTAAATTACACCTGCCACCTTAAATCACACTGGGACATAACTGACTTGGTGGCCTCCATGAATGGAACTCACAGCACTTGAGACATTCATCCTTTATAATATAAGGCTTATATATAAAGAAGATGATAGTTACCAAATTGTTACCACTCAGCACAGCTACAAATATCAGGCTGCCAAGAAGTAAATCAAAATTCTTGGCTGCCTTCTAGAGGAAGTTAAGCACACCTAAGCACCTATTAAATCAATAGGACATGTACTTTGCCTTTGAACAACCATACCTACTAATGGAGACACAGAATTCACATTAACCTTGCAAGCATTCTGGATTTTTCCCCGTTTCTCTCAGTCTGGCTCCAATACTAGAAGTGAGCTGGGCTTAGATGAAAGCGCCCGAGGAGAAGGAGCACGGGGAAATACAAAAGTAGAAGAGGGGAACTTCTGCTTCCGTTCTGATGTCAAAATGAGCCTTCATCTCCTGCTACCAAAGTCAGTTTAACAGATGTGTTGGTAAACAAATGTGGTTGCCACTGACATGTCTAATTTGACTCTTAGCACAGACTGTTGGAACGGACTGACATTGGCCCCGCATCAGCTGAGGGTGGGTGGGCAGGTTGGCATGTATGGGGGAAAGGACTTCTGCTCAGTTGCAAGAGCGCCTTTCTTGCATTCAATATCGGATGCCTGCAGAGAGATGTAGTTTCAAAGCAATTGGTGGGAGGTTCATAGAAGGTGAAAAGTTAACATTGAAGAGCTTCTGGGTTGGACCTAAAGTACAGAGGAACCCACAAGAAGACACTGTGAATCTTTTCCATCTTTTCTCTTGTAAGAGCTTGGGATTTTCTGCACAAGGCTGTTAAACGGCTGTTATTTTGCTAAATTTACTTTTGGTTTCATTGGAGAGTTGAGGTCCTACAACTACACAAGATGGCACTGTGGCATATAATGGAATGACATACATTCACACAAGGAAATGTTTTCTTTCACTTTCACAATTAAATGCCCCATTTTTCCTGCCCCCCCCCCCCAAATTGCTGAAGTGCCAGTCGGACACAGAAGCAAAACTGGAGAGTCATACAATCATCTATAGAACATGCACACAATCATGAGTAGGGATTGTTAAGAGCATGATCAATGTCTTCTGTAGAAAAGCCCATTGCCTCTGGTCAGATAACGATGGAAGGTGGTGGGAAGCTTTGGGAGGATTGCGTAAAACAGTCAAGATGATGATTGCTGGACCCCTCAACAAAACCTCCTAAATAAGTCCAGGCAATCGCACCTTAAAAGACTTGTCTGGGTACATTCCTGCTGGATTTGGTCTCCTGCAATCTTGAATATGGACTGCCTCAATGCAGAGTCTGATTTCATGTTTCAAGTAGAGAAGAACTTATAGAGAAAATAGCATTCAATTTCTGGTACTGCCAAGAAAAAAGGAGCAGACAAAATCACATATGCAAGCGATCCTGCTAAAAAGGTTGTGAGGGTGAGGGTCAAGGAATTTGCTGCCTGCTAAATAGCTCCAGTCAACTGCTAAGCGAAACAACTACGAACTCTGGTGTGAGTTGATTTGAGGCTACACTTCCTGGTTTCCATGTAAAAATGGCAAGCACTGGATAGAGAAAAAGGGAATCTTGTTTTAGTCTTTCTCTAGGTAGGTCCAGTAGAAGGAAGGGAAGCCTGGGAGGCATGCTTGAGGTGCAGGCTTCATGTGGACTTCTTCCTGCCCATACATGTAACACTTAACTTGTGTTTAGCATCGTGTGCACACACAGCCAGTAGCAGTGGTACCCAGGCCAGGTGGGGCTCATCAACTTCCTCCTAATTCTACATAGTTAGAGCCAAGTAAGTATCCATTGTGGATGTTGGTATCTATATGCTTTCCATTCACACATTGAAAAAGTTGTCAGATCCTTAATCCATTGCATTATAGGAGGAGCGTGTTTATCCCTCCAGTGTTGTAATATCAGTCTTTCAGGTATCAAAAGGATGCTGATCATTTCTTAAATCCCATGAAGCAGGCCTGCAATTTAAAAGAGTGTGTACTTCAGTGAATATGAAAGACTGTTCTAGAGAGGACATTTATCTGCATAATCATCTCCTCCGCAAAGGAAGGAGCTCCTGGACATGGTCAAACCATGCTTTTAAAAGAAGCATGAGCTGTGCGACACCTCCGGCAATTAGCTGGATTAGACAATCTCTGAGTAAAGAGATGCTGCAGTGCCCCATAGACACGGAGCACATGCTTTTGGCCCAGAAGATGCAGCCTCAGAGCCATACATGGGACAGGTGGGTGCCAAGGTGGTGGTCCACTGATTAGGCCTTTCGTGGGTGGTGCCCAGAGCAGATTCCCAAATTCCACGATGTGCCCATGGGTTGAAAAGAAAAAGCTGAGGACCCTGATCTGTGTAGCCACAATTCACTTAGAGAGCATTTTTGGACTGAGAGGTTGTTTGTTTTACTTCCCATGCCAGACTCTGCTCAGTGGAGGACCTGCTGATGGGAAGCATCCTCAATCAGGGAGTTTATATGGGGAGAGAAAAGCACAGTTCATCTGACTGAAGGTAAATGGACGAGTAATCCAATTGAAGGGAAGCGGTGGTAGAGCCCCTGCTTTGCCATCAGAAGACCCCTGGCTCATCTCGGTTTATCTCCTGGGCTAGTTGGAGCAGCACCTCCTGGGTTCAGGTGTTTGGAGGCCTCCAGATCCACCACCCTGGATCCCTTCGGTCCCTTCCCCTCCCACCCTCAAAGTCCTGTGTCTCTGCTCTTTCACTGGCCAGATCTTGGCTGCCACCCCCTTTCTGCAATTCCCTGGCAGGAAGCTTAGCTGCTTTTCAGCTGGCACAGGGAGGTGCTGGCCACAGCAGTGATTCCAATAGCTTTACTGGCATAATAGTTTCATTACATTTTATGTGTTTTGATAAATGAAGCAAATCCATGTTTCAGTTAAATTTAATATTTAAACCTGTAGACAAATATTTGAATAAGCAGTGGAAATAATAAATTACCAAGGTGAAGTGATTTCATTGCTTCTGAATGCTCTGCTGGGATTAAAAAGGAAATGACTGCATGTTCGTATCACTGCATGGGCTAGGAATATGCACTTAGAGTTAACTTCCTCTATAACCCTAACGATTCTGATATACCTGACTGGGTTTAAAGGATTGTCTCTGTTTTTCAGGAAAGCCAATTTCAAACAAAAACAACTTAGTGTGTTGCAGGTCTGCAAGTACCTGTCTCAGAAGAGTTTAATGAGCTCTACATTACTTTGACCATTTGCACTCCCGCATTTCTCATTTTCTAGCCAGCATAATTCAATTAAAGCTTGTGGATCTGGTTTAGAAAAGATCTGACTTTAGGGAATTGAGATTTATTCCAAGGTTGCTGCTTTTTTATTTTTAGGTGAAGCAGTCTGGCTGAGGTAAGCTAACAAGACTTGAAAAAAAGCTGTGGAAAATAGAACCTTTTATTGCAGAGATCTTTTGATGAAAATTAAATTTCCAGCCCAGATTTGAATCACTGTGCTGTGTGCATTTCTCTGTTTTTATACTGTGGAGGAATTTGCATGCTCATTAGCCATAAAATGATACATTCTGTATTCTGGACTACATAGACTCTGCATAGACCATTGTGGACTGCGGTTTCCCAAGTATTTTAATGTAGATTTCTATGACATCTGTAGAAAGTGCATTCCACCCCTGGCTTGTTAGGGTTCAACTAGAGTCAGCATTCGTCCAGCTATCACTAAGGACTGGCATCAAAGGTTTCATTCATAAAAATAAGCAAAACAATTCCTGTTTCTTTTCTTATGGATCAGCTCTTTTCCACACAGCATCTAAAATATTCTGTTCCCCACCACGACACACAACATGAAGCAGGCAAGGCTAGCTAAATTCCAGGGAACTAGGTTGTGCAGACACTTGTTAAATGCATTGGGTATGGCATGGGAATAAGCATGGGAGAGGCCATTGTTTTGTATACGGAAGTCTTGGGTTTGGCCCACAGCATCTCCGGGTCAGAGAACCACCTGAGTATATAAATGTTAAGACAGCTGCAGTGGGAACTACTGTATTTTTCACTCTATAAGACGCACTTTTCCCTCCTCAAAAGTAAGAGGAAATGTCTGTGCGTCTTATAGAGCGAATGTGTGTGTGCCCGATGCCCAGGATGCTGCCGGCCCGCCTGCACCACATGGCACCACCTGGCTGGCACGCGCTCGGTGCGCCCTGCTCCGCCCACCCCCCTCTGGCACAGGTGGGAGCTGTGCCACTCAGGGGGAGCGGTGCGGAGGAGGAGGAGCCACGGGCTTTAACCCGCCGGCCACACGGAGAGATGGACTGCTCACCCCCACCGCCCGGGAAGACCTGCTGCGGAGGAGGAGGAGCCACGGGCTTTAACCCGCCAGCCGCACAGAGAGACGGACTGCTCACCTCCACCTCCCGGGAAGACCAGCCGCCGCTGCCGCGCCGCCCGGAAGACCACCGCCGGCACGCTGCCAGCCTGGCTGCACCACATGGCACCACCTGGCTGGCACGCGCTCAGCACGCCCTGCTCCGCCCCCCTCCTCCGGCACAGGTGAGAGCTGTTAATCACAGGGCGGTGTGTATTTTCAAATGGCAACCCGTCTTTTAATGAAGCCCATGGGGAAGTGATGGGGAATGTGCCTGTGATTATCAGGAAGCTTTCCATGCATCCCTCCTCTAAAAACTAGGTGCGTCTTATGGTCAGGTGCGTCTTATACAGCGAAAAATACGGTAGTTCTAAAGCACCAACTAGTTCCATGTCCAAGCTGCTTCCCCCCTTTTCATGATTTGCATTCAATTGATGGGGAAAAATCGCTTTTGAAAAGGAGAAATTCTCAGGGGTTTGCAACAGGGCTTTTGTGCTCACAGCATCTAAAATATTCTGTTCCCCACCAGAATTCTGAGGTGGCTGAGGAGTATGCGCGCGTGCCCTGTCTTTCCTCAGGCACTCATCTCTGAACGAGCTCCGTGCAACGGACTCTGTGCGGGGCAGCCCTTGGAGTCTGTTCAGAAGCTGCAGTCGGTGCTGATTAGTAACAGAGACCAGAAGCTCCATACACAACACCAATCCTGACCTGCTGGCACTCATCACCTCTCTGCTTCTTAGCCCAGTTCGAGGTGTGGTTTTAACCAATGGGGTTGGACCACAATGCCTGGCAGAACGTCTCTCCCAGTCACAGTCTACCTGTACTCAAGGAGCAAGATCTGGGGGCTGCCTCTGATAGAGTCAGCCGCCCAGTTATGGACCTCCCTCCCCAAGGCCTGTGTGGTGCCACCTGTGTTATTTTTGGAACCAGGTTAAGATTATCCTTTCTGAGAGGTCATTTAATTAGTTTATGTTATATTGGGGCATTATGTCATGTTAACAGGTCTTGTGATTTGATTTGAATAAACTATTGTAGCTTTTACTACAATAGTTTGTAGATTTATTTGAATAAACTGTTGTAGTTTTTACTACAATCGTTTTTTAAACCAGATTTTGGTTTAAAATCTGGCCTTTCAGTTTTGTGTTGTATTTTTATAATGTTTATTGTGATTGTATTTTATTGAATTCTCACTGTATCTTTCATATTGCTGTGAACCAGCCAGAAAAAAGAAAGCAAGGGGATGTTTTGCATATCTTGCTGAAGGTGAGTCCTACCTGTGATAACTTCTTGGAGAATTTCTCCTCATGCTGGAGAAATTTGGTGAAATTCCCCCTCCCTGGGAAATTTCTCTGTCCACAAACAGGGTAGAGAATGGCAGGAGGCCATTTACACCCAACTTTACTATAAATCCCTTCATGAAACATACAAGAAACGAATTTTCATATAGTATGTTTTAACAGAGCACTTCAAGAAAGCTTTTCAAGTCCTAAAATGTTCCTGTTGTGAAATTCTGGCAGCATTAGCCTACACATTGTTATCAAATCTTGGCTATAGTTAAACCTTTAAGGAAATTAGCAGTGCCATCCTATGGACATCCACTCACATGCATAGGATTGCAGACTGCATGATGCAATAGTACTAAATTCTTTGCTTTTGGGAACCTAGACATTCCTGTAGTTTCCATGTTGGAACTTCACTGTGCAGTGAGACGGCTAGGTCTGGACTTAGGGCTGACACCCAGACAGCTGCAGCCCAGGAGACCTCCGCATGCCTGCCGAGCGAGTGGCAGGAGATGGAAGAGCAGCAAACAAGGCCAGCTTCAGGTGTGGGTCATCATGGACTTACTGGGACCAAAGTTCCTCACCACAGAATCCTTCCTCCTCCTCCTCCTCCATTGTCATGCAGGGTGAATACAGCACTGTCAGGAGCTGTGATCATGTGACCTTGAGAACTCCACAGAGGGGCTTTAAGTTCAGGGTACATTTGGCTTTATGGGAGAAGTTAAAGCACGACTTATCTGGATATTATTGGGGTGTGAGGCCAATCAGAACTTGCCTCTGGAGCTGATGAAATAGCCCAGATTTCTTCATAAGAACACGGAGCCTCGAAATTTACTAAAAGGGGGTAGGGGAGTGTGTGTAGTAAACAGTTTTAATTCCTCCCAACACCCCCCATTCCCTGTGGCAACTTTAATTCCCTGGCCTTTGTACGCTGGATCTTCTGAGAGCAGAGCGTTATTTCAGTATTTCCAGGAAGGCGCATCAGATATTTTCCTATAGCATCCATCACTGGGTCTCCTTGGCCTTCAGGATCAAAGTGCATGAATTCATAGGATCGCTTTGGCTTGCCCTTCCTGCCAGAGAATGCAATCAATTTGCTAATTTCGGAGCAGAGGCTCTTTCTCTCTGTGTTAATATGAAGTCATATTGCTATGGACCTCCTGGGACAAATCTATTGCTGGCCTAAATGAGTGCAACTCCATTGCCTTCAGATAGACAAGCTCGGATGCCATCTGACTAGCCATGGATAGAGCATTAAAACACCCTCATGAACTTTGCTATTTTAGCCATAAATCAGGTCATCTGCTTAATTGCCTCTTTGTCCTTAGTGGCAGCTGGCTGTGTTGACGAATGCAGGAGAACAGGAGAAGTGAGCAGACTGATTCAGCCGGACCTGCAACTGCCACCCTGCCTTGGAATCCCTTTGTTGGAATTCGGTCTGTTAACAAAAACTTTGCCAATGCGTGTGAAAGTGTGAGACTAATGATGCCGCCTAGAATTAACAGAAAGGCAGCAGCTTAGGCACACGATGCCAGCTTTTCGTCATTCCCTTTAGAATGCTGTTGTCACACCTCATACTGATCTTGTGTTTGTTTTTAAACATGGTGCTCGCTAATAGAGAAACGCGCAGTTCTGACATGCAGCCAGCCGTGGGGCAGGCATGGCGGCAGCTGTTTGTCAGGCAGCCTTGTCAAGGTATGACCTGTCCCCAGCTGTGCTTTCCCTTTGCGCAACCTCCCCAGATCCAGCAGAGGGACCCTACGCACATGGGAAGGACGTGGCCTTCCTCTGTGCATGCAGCCGTAGGATCAAGGCAAAGAAGCAGTTCTGCTGCGAGTCGCTGGACCAGTAGCCGATGCCCCAGCGCGGGAGAGATGCTGGAGGATGGACTCAGCCCTGGGGATCCAGAGCACCTGGCCCCTACAGCAGGCTTCCCCAGGCGGCTGTAGTTTTGCACAGCAACTCTCCCCTTCCCTGTCCACTGGCCACGTTGGCCAATGGGAGCTGAAATCCAAAAACCTTTTGAGGGCAACAAGTTGGTGAAGGCTTCCCCAAGGGTTGAGCGAGTGCTCACCAAAGCTCCTCTTCAGGTTCTATTCTCGGTAGCACTATTAAATGTTTAAAATGCCAAAGGAGTGAAGCTGTGCTTGGGGATAGGGGTGGTTTGTACCAGAGGGCAGGCAGATGGGGAAAGGATAACACCCTCTTTCTGTCACCCCTCCAAAGCAGCGAGTTCTGCAAATTGTGATTTGTGCTAGGGCAGATACATAGGCAGTTGGCTTCTCCTGAGTCAGACCATTGGTCTATCCATCCCAGTCTTGCCAACACTGACTGGCAGCAGCTCTCCAGGGACTCAGCCAGGGTGCCTCTCTTAGAGTGCCTGCATAGCTATCCATTGAGCTAGCATATTGAGTCACCTTTGCAAAGGCATGGGCCTGCAGGCCGATGGGTATGGATGTGGAGCAGGGGGCAGGACTTGATGGCCTAATAGGCCTGTCTCCTCTCCTCTCCTCTCCTCTCCTCTCCTCTCCTCTCCTCTCCTCTCCTCTCACCACACCTGGAACTGCAAGTGCTGAGCCTGGCAGCCTTCACTTGGAAACCAGGTGCTCTCCTCCTGAGCTACGGCCCTTCATGAGGCTGACAAACCCAGTGGATGGAAGATTTAATTACACTTTAAATATTTCAATGGGAGCCCTCAAGGCATAGCCTATGAATGGATAAATATATGGATATTTGGATGCCTTTGCTGAAATCTACTCATCATTCTTTTTAATAGTGGCAGTATGCTCTGTTATATACTGACACTGAGAGATATATAATCTATATGTAATTGATGCTATGGTTCTTTTTACATTTTATTCAAAAATCATGTTTCAGTTGTTCCCCTTTTTCTTTCTTCTTTAACAGTGTGCTTGGGTTGCTTTATTTGTATTGCACAATAAAAAAGAGAGACCCAGTTCTACACTTCGGCCCAGCATCTCTTCCTCCCACCCTCCCCTCCATGAGGGAGAGCTGCACTCCTTCCATTTCAGTGAAACCAGACGGCACAGGAATTGTGTGGACACATGAGAACACACACAGGGCAAGCAATCAGGAAGACTGGGTACAAATTAACAAAGCATCGTTTCTCCAAATGCCTATTTATATTAGCATGCTGGCAGGGACTGTGTTTAGGTAGACCATGGCCGTGATACCAATCTTTTCCATTAATTTGTCAGAGCTCCATGATGTGGCAGTTTTTGGATGTATGCATATATTTACTTATTTATATGTATATGTATATACTTTCTATGCTGCCCAATAGCCAAAGCCCTGTCGCCAGTTCACAAAAGTCAAGAGAATAAAATACATCACTGTGATAAAGCAGAATAGTAACTTTTGAAAGCTTACAAGTGCAGGAAAGTAGAAACACACAAAGTAGAAACACACCCGCAGTACAAAGACCTAAAGATAGAATGACGAATTTGAAACAAGAAAAGCTGTAGAACTAAAATGACTGGAGGAATGAAAAGATGCCTCTCTTTGACACAGAAAGCATGCCAAACTTTGCTCAACAGTTCCCTTCAAGTATTCCTCTTTGGGGGGGCCTTATCGTTATATTCCTATTTTGTTGACAGAAAAACACAATCTAAGGAGTACAGATAAATAAGACAGAGAAATGATAGAAGCGATAGACTTCAGTGTTCCCTTGTTTTGATATGCATTGTGATTTTTTTCCATGTTGAAGAGAAAAGCACGTCAAAACCTGCTTGCTGTACTGCAGCAAAGACTCTGATGTCCATGAGCTGCTAAAGAGAAAGATGTTTGGCTAAGGATGGACACTGCTAAGACTTCCATCGGCCTGAACGATCAAAACAAGCCACCAGGCAACACAACGAGCCCTGCCCGGCGGTGATTATGTGCCGTGTGTCAGGATCCAAGCCGTCCCGTTAGGCGCATGGGTGTGTGTGAACAACTGCCGCCTGGACAAGGCTGGTCGTGCTGTCCGAGCCCCGGTGGTTGGGTTGCTGGGAAGGTTGCTGCCCCGCTCTTGCTGCAGTAACAAGAACCCGTGAGGTACAGGAGGGCTGCTGCTCCCTCCCACAAGCCATGCAGACCAGGCCCACGTCTCTTACCCTTTGTATTGTTGGTCTGAGGAAGGAGGAAACTGATAAGTAATACTTGACAGACAATCCAATAATGTGAACGACACACTAATTTATACATTTTTTAATAAAGAGGAGAAGCAAAAGCAATGGCATTCACGAAGTCAAGTAACCCACCCCTGGCCTCTTTTGTTATCATCAGTCACCTGCGGATACGGGATTCTGAATGTGACTGATAGGCAATTCTCTCTCTGGATTAGGCAGTGGTACATTCAATACCTCTTTGAAGAGTCATTATAATCTGCTGGGGGAGGGGAATATCAATTTAAAGGTCAAGTGCTTTCATAAAAAAGGGTGATTACTCAGTATTTCATACATTGAACAAAAGCTTAGCAGGATTCATTGTGTGTCAGTTTCCTTTGTGTATAGTACATATGCAGAGAAATAGATAGCTTAATTATATAATTATCTGTCTTTGGGGAGGATATTGGCCCATGAATAGAAACTGTCAAATAGGTACTTTACTTTTGCTTCTGATCCTTAATCCATTACTGTAATGGCCCTGACTTTCAGGATGATTTAAATAAATAGAAATTGCATCGCTAAACAGGGTTTTAGAAAGAGGAATGCTTTGCTAAAAAGGGGGTTACATTACTGACATTCCATTGTTAACCTCCTGATGTCTTGCATAGCTTTCCATGGATTGTTTGGGCTCCGTCCAACAGGAGCCAGTGGTCCCATGGAGTCAGGGGTGGGGAAACCATTGCTGTACTAATTTTGCTGCCCAGATTTCCTCATTTTTATGGTACAGCAATTTCAGCATTGGACACTGGGGCACACTAGTGTGTTGTGAGGAACAAAGGGGTGACATAATGAAAGGCTCTTGGAAGTCCAGAATACCTGCCTATGAGGGAGGCTTCCTGCTTCACCTCAGCATACCCAAGTACTCTGAGTACCACTTTCCAATCAGCTTTTCCTGGAGGTGAATAATGTTGCCTTGTGTTTACTTTATTCAGCCATTTCAGATGCAGAAGAATTCATTTTCTTACAAAGGAACATCCCACCAAGAGTCACCACCGTGTGAAGTCTTGTGAGGATAATACGGTGAAGAGGAGGCTCAGGTACCCCACCTTGAGCTCTCTGGAGGAAAGAGTGACGCAGAAATGCAATATGTAAAGCTAACTCTGATAGCCATAGCTGGCACTCTCTGCATGCCAGTATGTTGTGTCAGGTTTTCTGAATGACAAGCACTGACAGCCAGTGTGGCGTAGTGCTTACATGTTGCACTGGGATGGGGATTATGGGTTCTAGCCCCCACATGGCTCTGAAGCTCACTGGGTGACCTTTGGCCAATCAGTGACACTCACCACATCCTACTTCGCTGGGTGGTTGGGAAGATAAAATGGAGAGGAGGAAGATGCTACCTTGGCTCTTGTGAGGTAAAGGTGGGATAGAAACGTAATAAGCATATTACTAATTAAAAAATAAGATGCCTGTAGCCCAGGCCTTAGTCTGTATGGTTGTAGTCTTGGTTCTTCATCTTCCAAGGTGCCATGAGTGTGAAATTCTGCATAGAAGCTAGCAATCTGGGAGGTTCCATTATTCATCCACTGCACAGGTCTGCCTGAAGACTGTGAGGCTGCAATCCGGTACCCACCTACCTGGGTCTAAGTTCCACTGAACTCCAGGAGACATGCGTAGGATCACTCATTGAAAGGCCTTTCCCGCAGACAGCTTTCCTGGGGGGGGGGGGGGGCTCAGGTGGACAAGGGTCTTGCTTGTCGAATAGCTGTGTGGAAGGGGGAATGCTGGAGTCAGAAAAGCGGCATCTTCCAAAATGTCCTCTTGGGAGCATATATTTAACTTGGTCACATTCGCATTAGTGGGTGGAGGATGGTATCTGTTGTAAAATCACACCTCAGTAATTGAATCAGAAATAGGAGGAGGGCTGGAAGCCCATTTTAAACAGCAAGAGATGATCCTGCTCCTTTTTGACCCAGAGGGCACAGCACCTGATAGGGAATTTTGCCAAAGTCAAAGCAGCAGAAGGAAAAGAGGGATGTATGATCCACTCCCCCTATCATATCTCCAGTGCTTGTGCAAAAGGAGGTCATTCTGTCAAGGGTAATTTTGGACTCTGGACTTAAAGTCGTATGGAGCCCTCTCATTTGCACAGGCGCATCCTCTCCATTTTGTTCCTTCCCAGTGTTCGTCGCATTACTAGTTCATGTGGCAGAGACAGGGGTGGACCAATGCATCAGCCGCAGCTTCTCCCCATTTTAATGATAGAATCATAGAAAAGAAAAGTTGAAAGGGGCCATGAAGGTCATGGAGTCCAACCCCCTGCTGTTGCAAGGACACCAAGTTACACCATCCTACTCAGGTGGCTGTCCAGTTCCATCTTGAATGTCTCTCGTGTGGGAGAGCCCACCACCTCCCCAGGCAGCTGGTTCCACTGTCGTATTGCTTCGACAGAGAGGAAGCCCTTCCTGATGTCCAACCTGAATCTGGGCTGTCACAACTTGAATGGATTATTCCGTGTCCTGCACTCTGGTATCAGCAAGAAGAGATCTTCACCTTTCTCTTTGTGACAGCCTTTGAGGTACTTATAAAGGGATATCACGTCCCCCCTCAGTTTTCTCTTCTCATGGCTGAACATGCCCAGTTCTCTCAGTCTCTGATATTACGTAAATATCAAGTTCTTTCCATTGCAATATGGAGACATTTGAAAGTTTGGCTGAACTCTTACACAGAGTGAAGTGCAATTCTCATCTGTATCTGCACTCACATGGCTGGATGCCCAAGGATTTGAATCAAACGGAGACTGCTAGAGTGAAGTGCTCAAGGACTTGGGTCTGGACCTGTCAGTTTCACTTCTCCTCCACATCCAAGTTTTTAAACCTCAAGTTCTTCGCATTCCAAAAATGCAGAAATTTGCAAAGTTTGGTAAATTTTCATTAAAAATAATCAAAACAACTAAGGAAAGTGTACCGGGGAGGCAGAGAGGCACTTATTGTTAATTTCTGCAGAACACCCATAAATAATGTGGGGTGAATAAGCAAATCTTAGGGACTATGATTTGCTGCTTCTGAGCAACCGTTGCCTCACCCCCACCCGCCCCCAAACCTCTTTTCAGAAGGTCAGTCCAGAGTGGCTGCACACATGGTAAATCTTTAACTTCAAGTGTCCTTCTGTGGTGACCAACTAAAATATTAGCAAAATAAATGTTTTATGGGAAAATGTTGGCAGGAACTCCAAGCGAAACAGGTGGTATTGGGTTATTTCAATATAATGTAATGATTCAGCCAGGTTTCCATCTGGACAGCATGTGGTTGAATCTACTTAGAGAGAGTATCAAAGAGCATGAGTATGCACGAGGGACTGCGGTGGCGTTCAAATGCACAGCTCGATGGCTACTTTACAGAAAAATAGTCTGGGTTCTAGGTCCTTTGGGTTAAATACCTTTACTGTCAGGGATCTGAATTTCTCCATCAAATATTAAAAGCGAAGCAACCCTCTGACATGCAATAGCAAGTCGTGTAATTATGAGGTGGTTCCTGGAAACTGAGAATTGTTCACATTATGGCTGGGCATTTATTATAAAAGAGTTCATTACCCTTGGAAGCCGAGGCATATGTTAGAAAGAGAGAGCCTTGAAACAGAGGTGCTTTTAACAGGCTTTGCTGCTGTAAATATATAAGAATCCTAGCAAGCTATTTAGGTAGCATACATTTATAGACTACCAAAGATCAATTCTTTGAAACATACTGCCTGGCTCTGGCTAAAATTGCAGCTTCTAGTTAAAATGGGAGAGATCAGGCTTGCGCCTCAAACAATGTATTTGGGAGAAAAATTCATTCATGGGCTTTAAAGGAGCCATCCTGTTTTATTGTAAGAGCAGTCTGGCTTTTGAGCCCATAGCCATGATCCAGCCAAAGTTAAACAATTTTAAGATTTCCTTTATTTCTCCTGTTTGTGTCAGTGGAACTCAAAATTCTTAACTATTGTTGAATAGTTTGTTTAGTGGTGTGAGTGTGTTAAACTCCATATGCCCAAATAAATAAAAATCTCAGAGTAAAATCTTGGTCCTGGGATCTAATAAATCACGCAGGCTGCCACCTTGTACTCACATGCATGTATGGAACTCCCTTGCGCTTCTTTCTAAGAACACATGTATGAGCTTGGCTTGTTAGGGGCGTTCCAAGGGGTTCTGTTACGCCATGTGTCATTTTTCCTTTTAGAATAGCTAAGTCCCATGGGGCTGCTGTCCATCTTCTGATACGCTGAACTAGTTTTATAGGATCTTTGCGAACAACAAGGCCAAACAGAAACACTGTTGTTGTGGTTGCTGATTCCTCTGTGGCTGGCTGCACACCCCAGCCGCACGGGGACTCGCTGTGGCCTGCGGGCAGTGGCGTGGTGCGACCAGACACCATGTGGGGATGTTTTAATTGGCAAGGACACTGACATCATCCACCACTCCATCCAGACTTGCATGTTCCCTCTGAGCTTAGCTGCAGTCCTCACAGTATTTTTCCAGCCACAAGTATGAGTGCCTGTGCGTGTGCACACACACGGATCAACACAGGTGCCTGTACCTTTTCAACTCTCCTTGGGGATGTGCTGTGGGGATTGCCAATGATGGACACCTGCAGTTTAGAAGTCACCACTCCACCACTGTTCTCAGACCAGCAGCCCTCTCCAGTCTGGGACCAGCCCAGCAGCACCCTATAAGGTGCAAGCCTGTGATCCCCCCCTCGGCTCGCCCCCTCGTGGGGGTATAACTGGCTGTGCTGCTGCATCTGGCTGGGGAAACATGTCCACAGAAATGCGGGCGTGGGGATGCCCTCAGCGCAAACACTGAGTAGGGCTGAGCTCTGCACCAGGAACTGCAGACCGACTCTGGTCAGAGCTATTGCTGGAGATGCAGATGGCTCCGTGCCTGAGTAGCTCCGCAACAGAAGGGGGCATTTCTGTGCACGCTCTTCTGTCAGCAGATAATATAGGAATCCAGGTCTAGCTAGGCATAGAAACCCATTCCCCGTCTCACTTCTGCTTCTCTCGCTTGCCACTAATGACTTGATAGTCCTGGAAATAGTTCTGTCTGCAACAGTTATGAGCCACCCCAAAGTTCAGGGTGCCGGCCAGCATATTTGGCACTCAAAGAACAGCCTGCTGCTGCTATTCATCAGCAGTTCCACACAAGGATGCCAAAAACCCATGGAAAATATGAGCTGTAATCCAGAAGCTGATGACATGTGATGATTGTGGTGTCAGTAATACAGCTTTTAACATTAATGGGTTTGGAAATGTTTGAAAAGGGAAAAACAAGTCTTTGATTCCACTCAGCTGGGGACTTTCTGAAGTACAGGATGCACCCAGGGACTTCCACACATGTGTGAGCCTCCTTCAGGCAGTGCTGCTCATTTCGGGGCCAAACACAAAGAGATGCTATTGATGCAGTTGACGTGAATGGCTTTCTGGAAGTGTATTGCAGGTGGAGGGGGATGGAGCACATCTGAGTCCCCCACAAAGCAAAAGGTAGGCATTGGGCTCCCAAAGCAGATCAGGACAGCAGAAGGGGTCAGAGCATTCAAACCCTTTACTTCCCATTTCAGGATCCTAATCTGGTTTGAACCTCCCGCAAGTAAAGTCAAAGGTCATTCGCAACATTGCCATTTCAGTAACTCGTGACACATCTACCTTTTCCAGCACGCCCGGCCAACTGAGCAATGGGCGGCAGAGGACACAATCCATGTTGCTTGGAGCAGAGATGGCGGAGGAAGACAACAACATCTGCCTTCTTCTCCAGCCAGCCAGACCGGATTGTTCTTTTCATGACCTAGCGGCACTAGAACAGTAGTCTGGGCTATGGGGCAGGAGCAGTGGGGAAGAGAGGAGACTGCGCGACCGCCTGTTTTCACTGGCCCGCTCGAGCAGAGCAGTGTTTCTGTGCTTCCATGAAAGGCTGCCTGCGAGGGAGGGGTTGCCAGAAGAGGGAGGAAGCTGCACGCCCTTCTCCTTCCCCTGGTCGCTCCACACAGTGATGCTGTATCACCGTGACTGGTGCGGAATCAGCAATCTGGGCCTCCCTGGGGGTGAGAGCAGAAGAAGAGCCAGGCTGGATCACACCAGCAGTTCACACTGTGGCCAAAGCTCCTCAGCAGCTGGAGCTGGTCTGCATGTGCTGGTCTGCACATGAAGGTAGCCCTGCTTTGCCAGAAAGTCTAGCAGCCATGGGCAGCCTTCTCCTCCATGCATTCGCCCTTTAGAGCCATTTGGAGTGGTTGCCACCATTGCTTCCCATGGCAGTGAATTCCATGGTTTAATGTTGTGTGAAGAAGTGCTTTATTTGGCCTAAATCTCCCACCAATCAGCTTCTTGGGATGACCCCAGGAATGTGGGAGAGGGAGAAACATGTCTCCCTACCCCCATTCTCCACACAGGCCTCATTT